GGAAGTCAAGAATATGTCATTTTAATTACAACAAAAAGTCATGTGGGGCCCACCATGCTTGATTTTCATCCCAACACAGAGTTCAGTACCGGTAATTAAATTTTTAATGATCACAAAATTCTTGTATGTTACTCTACAAAATGTATAAAATTTGTGAAATTGTATTTATCTAATGTTGAACTATACAGTACTGTATATTCATTTTCCAGATGATAATGTAACCTTTGTTACACATGGCCGTCCATGACAATGTTGTACCAAATGCCACCACCATTTAATTTCTTTCTGTGATAATTACTGTATTGTACCATAAAATGAAAAAGAATGTTCATATAAAATAAATAAATCCATTCTCAAATCATGTTATATGAAACAGTGAATAAGACAGCCACACTCCTTGAACAATTCAGGTCTTATTCACTTTGCCTCCTACATCAGTTTATCCCAGATTTCCATTTCAATTCCTTCTTCCTTCCCTTAACCCTCCTTGCTCAGCATCCATGAGGGGTACTGCACCAATATATTCTTTACAAAATCCTACACAATCATTGAAACCCTATTCACTACTGCCCGAGTTCACATGAAAATGTCAATAATTTAGGGAACTGAAAATTGTAATGGTATGTGTTTACAGGTACAGTACATTAGTGGATTAAACAATATATGGTTGAGAAAAAAAAATTATCACCAAAAGAAAAAGCAAGTTCTATTGTTTTTTTTTTCTTTTTATCACCACTTTTCCCTTTTGTTAATATCTGTACTTCAATGGCCGACTAGGACCAACCATTCTGCAATTAAAAATTAAAAAAAATTTTTCATTTCTGTAAAGATCTTTCTACAAGCTGAACATCTGCATTCAAAAAGCTCTTGCCACATTTGCAGTAGACACCAATTTGGATCAACACAATAAATTAAATTTTATAAAAAAGTAGAAATAGTTGATGAATAGGTGGCCATTGTGGTGCTTGAATTAGTGCAGGCAGTTAAATAATTATTAGTGTGCATTAGCACATGAGGCAGCCAAAAGCTGAACACAAGCTCCCTCAAATCTATAGGAATTTATAAACCAATAGCAGTGGCATGAAAATCTCTGATGGGGGTGATACATCGTAGCTATCACAAGATATGTAGCTAGCCCACCTGTGTCATCTTCAAGTTCAACAATAGATGTGATGATGTGTGTGCCGGTGAAGTATAACAGAAAAGGTAGGCCTAAGCCGAAAGTATCATTCGTTACGCTTGCTCCTGGCTCAAGAAGAAGTGGCAGGAATCCTATGTGGTGGTGTGCCCCTTCTGTTGAACATGCATCACAAGAGGATTTACTGTTGGCTGTCAAGAATGCCACTGTAGTTAATACAACATATAAACACAGTGCAGCCACATGAATCATTAATGCCACAAATTATGTGTCATGCATACACACAATTTTCCCAACAGTTAGCTATAAATACACCAAAACCAACTTGTTTACTTTGATACATGGCCTAAAATACTGTATGGATATGAATAAACCAACTTCAATAAAAGTATGGCAATCCAGTACATAGTATTAGACTTAATAGATCAGGTAACAAAATTCATAGCTACCATTACAAATAAAATATATCAAGGTAATCAAAGTAAGACATCTTTATAAATTTCATGAGAATACAGTATCTTTGCTTTCAATTAACACATACAGTACTAATACCATTCATTCCACCATTTATTTTTTTTATTCTATAACAAATACCACTATAATACAGGTATTTTAATTTAATTTTGACAAAGATTAACTTAGCTTTTATATATCCACATGCAATATCATTATCACATCCTTTATAAATTTGAAACACATCTATGAAATCCGCAAAAATGTTTTTTTTTTTTTAGTAATTGTAAAAATAATCTTACTTAAATTTAACATCGACTAGATATTACAAAATGGTAAATTTAAAAATAAATATAGTACAGTACAGCATATGTAAAAGCTGGGGAATCAATTATTACCGTAACCTCAAAACCAACCCCACAAATAACAAGAACGAACTGTAAAACTGGTAAGCGTGTTATCAACCTCTTCATAGTATGGACTTTGGCACTCAATCCAGACAAAATATACAACATGAATTAGCACTGAGAAATGGTAAAATATGTTCATGGATTCTCTCTGTTCTTATCTTTAAAAGCTTGTTCAAAATTGGTTAGGATATGTGTGTGTGTGTCTAAATTAAAATGACACCTTTTCCAGTAAAGTTCCTACACAAAAGAGAGAAAACAGATGACCTAAACTATGAAGATAACGAACAACTGAAGCACACATCAGGGGAGTTTGGAAGGGGGGAAAAAATCATACAAATTAGGATAATACTAAACTTATTTCATCTTCAAAATGGACTCTCTGGTTTTGGGGGTTGAGAAAACAATATGATCTATGCTATGGGCTATTTACCTTTTGGCGGGATTCAAGCAGATATAAAATGTTAACTAAAAGAAACAGGAGCTAAGCCATAGAAAGTACGGGTCATGAGAAAACTCCTCTGGCCCTCAAAATACCGAAGAGGTAATATAAATGTGCTCTTGATCTAAAAGGATGTATGGTAGTAGCCAAATGGATACTGTGCTTGCCTCCTATCTCAGGGGTTGCTTGTTCATGCATGGGACATCTAAAGTGACCCCATAAGTGAAGGTAGCCAAGCATAGTAAGACACACTGCTTTTTTGTTTAGGTAAATTTTTGTAATGTATCTACTCTACCGCTAATGAGCTGTTAGGTCCCAAACTCATTGGTACTCTTAGATTTGGGATAAATCTCCATTTTCCATCAAAACTGGCTCTAATCAAGTCATGGAGCTCCCATCCCTACAAACACACAAAAACAATACCAAAACAAAACAAAACTATAACTAAATTAGGTTAGGTAAAGTTAGATAGCATCCCGGTAGGTTGAGCTAGATTACAGTAGTCATAATGTTATTTAAATATACAGTAGTTTATACAGTGATATCCCCGTTAGCTGGAAAAATTGGTGCAGAGCACTTCCGGGAATGAGAGATTTCCGGGTAACGAGATGACTCTCTCAAAGCCGGAAAAAAATCCCTCATCCCCGGAATTTTCCAGGTAACGGAAAAATGTTCTCGGAAGTTCCAGAAATTGCCCACTACATCATCTCTCGAACCCCGAAAAATATCCCACGGAATTTTCCGAGTAACGGAAATTTATTTTCAGAATTTCCAGAAAACGCACCTGATTTTCATCTCTCAAACCCGGAAAAAACTCCCCCATCCCCGGAATTTTTCGGGTATCGGAAAATTTTTCATGGAATTTTCAGGAAAATGTGCCCCCCTCGGAAAATCGTTCCCAAAGCCGTAATTTTCCGGAAAATTCCGACTTTGGGAACGATTTTCCGAGAAAATTTGAATTCCGGCTACCGGAGAGTTCCGGGTCTGAGTGATTCCGGCTAACGGAGATATTACTGTATTATGATTACGGTATGTACATGACCATATACTGATTAGTTTGATTTTTAAAAACAAGTAAAAAGAAAGTTATCATTGCTTTGCAATTATCCCTATTCAGCTTGGTGTGCACTCACACACACACAAGCAGTTATGTTAGAAATAAGTAGTTAGGGCTAAAGGTTGATAAAACAATGTCAGTAGGAAGGGTTACCTGTCCCAAGTTGTGGAGGACTCACACAAAATATACATAGTGTACACAGCTGTTACCTAGTTGTACATGGTTTAGTTTGATACCTTAATATTTATACATTTGACCACAATTTCATAATACCTGTAATAAAAATACATTCTGACCCAGAGTCCAGAGAATGGAGCTAGACACAGGGACTAATACATAACCTCACCTTCATCTTTTGAGTGAGAAATAATATGTAGCTATTAAATTGCACTCAAAAGTTTATTAAAACAATCTCAAAATAGCTAACAGAGAGAATTACATTAAACATATAAATACTCTAGTGTCATGTGTAAAATAACCCTAAAATAATATAGTATATGTACAATTACCAGGTAGCTACCCTGTACAAGGTCTAAGTTGGAGGTAAACAGGTGAGTGTAACCGAGGCACTGTTGGGAAATGACAAGATTTATGATGCACAGAAATTACTTTTCGACAGATACCAAAGACATTACAAGATATGAAACAGGACAGTGAGTGGCAAGCTGTCAAGTCGAGTGAAATGGGACATCTTTGAAATACCGTACACGGCAGAAAAGAAAAAAATCTATATCATGGAAGCTACCAACTACCCTTTAATGTCATTCATTAAAAATATGAGTGAGTCATAGTAATTAAGACTCATTTATGGTATGTGAATCAGTAATACCTTAAATAATCATTATTTTTAGCAAGAAATCCATACTCCAGTTTACCTTTGTATAAATTTAATAATAAGGTTTTATTACAAATCATGATAAATACTATAGGTGTTTGCCACTAAAGGTGGCCATAGGCCACACCACTGGGCAGTAATGACTGAAAAGCCTGATTATCAAAAGCAAATAAGATCATGATAAATCTATATATCAATTCAGGTTAAACTACACAGCTACTTGTTCAGATTAAAGTGTTCACAAAGTTGGTCGCGCGCGCGCGCACGCACACGCACGCACACACACACACGCGCACACACACACACACACACACACACATCATTTCTAATGTCCCTCAACAGGGAAGCAGGGAATAACAAAAGCACCATACATGATGAAACAATGTTACAAGAAATCAATACAATACAGTTAATACTAAAATTGTTTTAAAGATAAAAACTTATTAAATATTTATACCATATGCCAGATAAAGAAGCAAAGGGCCACAGGCTAGGAACCTGTAAGCATACAGAAGCCTTGTAATCTGTGCAGTACATCCCTTAAATACTGTGCTTAACTCAAGTATAATTCAGTGAAGCTATACACAAAGGTGCAAAGCTCTGCAGATCAAATACTGTAGCACCAAGTGCAGTACTGTACTGCATTCAACTGGAGACTTCCAGCTTACCTTTTGAATACTTTCATTGACATCATTGTCCTTCAGATCAGGGAATTTCTGCTTCAAATGGTGGAAGAGCTGCATGTGGGGGATGTTGCGCGTGTCAGTAGGCAGCCGCGCAGAGTCCATACTGTGGCCCAACCCACTACAAATATGGCCTGGCCTCCCCTTTCCACAGTGGCCCACTCTGATTTGTTTACTGTTCTATGTCTATCTTTAATTTTGGCACTTTTAAACTTTTAAAACTACAGAGGCCAGCCTGATGTTAGAAAAGGGGGCCTCCTGACAACATCTGCAACTTGTCAGCTGCAGCACCATAGTATTCGACCCATCTGCATGTTGGCTTCTCTCCATCAACTTCCTGAAAAGAACAAGAAAAAAGTAAAAATAAATGGTCATTCTAAAGATGAATATTCAGTATATACACAGTACATATCACTGTCAGTATGTTAAATAATCACTATAATACTAATGAATATAAATACTGTACTGTAGAGTAAAATTACCCAATACATACTGTAATAATAATAATAATGCAAAAATAACACTAATAATAAACTGGTTCCACAATTTTAGACCAAATAATACCCTGACACTTAAAGAAACTAGCAGATATTATCAAACAAGAATTTAGCAAACATACAAAAATTTGGCACAAGATATTATTTTTTCCTATCCCTCCGAATCTAGAGAACTTAATAGGTCATTCTGGTAGAAGTAAGAAATAGCTCAATGATTAGTAAAATTACAGGTATCTCCCGATTTACGATTATCCAAATAACATCAGGCATTAACACCCGTGATTTAAGTAAGGAATAATCCACATTAACGATATAAGTCATGTGGTATATAAAATTATTAAGTGTGCAGACTTTTCCTACCCAATCACCGTTTTCTTTAAGCTGCAGTCAGTGTTCGTTTGTCCTACCGTTGTGTGTGGCCTTGTGGAGTGTGACTTTAAGAGGGGAGTGTTGCTAGAGTACAGTAAGTGGACAGTACTCACAAATAAATATAGAAGGTGGAGGAGGAGGAACAAGTAAGGTGTATGTGACCAGGTAAGTGAGGTGAGCAGGTGACCCACTTATACTGTACTGGGGCTTCACACACACACACACACACACACACACACACACACACACACACATCTCCGCTATTACGTCGTCGCTCTCTTCTGGACTCTTAACTTTGTTTACTGTAGGCGGGCTGGTCGCGGAAGGACGGTGGGAGGGGAGGAAGGGGGTTTGTTGTAGAGCTCCAAGGCGGAGGTAATGGTTACTGTGTTACCTGTCATATTTGGTAGTGAGGGTGAAAGTCAAACTGGATAACAGCCTTCTCAAGTGTGACCTTTGTTGCTGTACCAACCACCACCATTATGCTATAACATCTTAAGGGAGTACCACTAATCCCGGTCAGGTGTTTGGTCTGGCCAGGTGAAGCAACTTTACAGCATCCATGAAATATATGCATAGGGATGAATCTATATTTTACATACTGCTCTATACGAGAATGTTTGTTTGTATGATTAATGTCTCGTTATTTACACACACACACACACACACACACACACACACACACACACACACACACACACACACACACACACACACACACACACACACGCACGCACGCACGCACGCACACACACACGCACGCACGCGCACACGCACGCACGCACGCACGCACACACACACACACACACGCACGCACGCACGCGCACGCACACGCACAGACACACACACACACTACTTATAAAATATGCATTATTATATATCACATAATTACAGAGGGTTGAAAATAAGACAGACAGCGTGGACGGCGGCGCCCAAGGTGTGTACGTAGTCTATGGCCGTGAGTGCATCTCCAGTCGTGTACGTAATAAGGCAATAGAAGATGCCGATTGACGTAAACAAGATCTGTATTGACTCCCAAAACGATACAAAACTGATCACTGTTATCTTGGTGGCAGAGATTTCACAGAGAAAACATATTTAACTGAACAAAACCCAAAAGGCCCATGTCAATCGCTGGAGAGATGAGAAGATAAACAGGACTCCTAGGTTAATCCAAAATACGTCGTGGTAATTTTTATCACACGAGGTAAACACGGCGAGAACTCCAACAACAACATCCGCGTTCCATGTGTCACTTTCTCACAACACGTCAGTGGAAGAACGACTCTGCCCGGCTCGTCCAGGCTGCCTCCCTCCCCTCCTCCACCAATGGAAGGCATGGCCGACTAGAGGATGTAAGTGGAGGTGAGTGAGCCTGGTGTACCCGGGCAGGCGAGATGTAACCAGGTATTCATTCACATCCGCAAAGATCAACTTCAAACGTCTGCCGCCAGGAAGTGGACGAGTGGACGACTGATGGAGGGAGATTTGGTAAGCATCCCGGGAGAGCATCAGGCGACACCAAACCTTGCCTGCCAGCCCTCACGTTACCAGCTGCGCCAGGGTGTACACAGTTAGTCAAATGGGCCCCAGTCCTAATGCACCCTAACCTAACAAACCTTTAGGACTGGGATACAATCTAAATAGTTAGGTTGAGTCCTGTTAAGACTATATATATAGACCTACCAGAATTAGACCCCAATACTAACGATTAAGTTTAGGATTAGGGTCATTTAGAACTGAGGCCCCATTTAACAAGTCACGCCCACACATTTCATAAACACATGTTACAAGTTACAGTATATTCTCCTGTGTATGATGCTACAGTTCTCTTTCATGTCTCTCTTTGTAAGATGATGGAAGAGCAAGCATCACAGCCAAGTACCATGACGAAATGACTCTGAGCACACGGGTTGGTTCAGCTTCTACAACATATACTGGGCCTATTATTTGAAACCTTTATTAATTTTAAGTTTGTGAGGAGTTACAGAGCCTAGAAAAAATATTGAACAGAAAAAAAATGGTTTACACTGAGAATAAATTGTAAAAGTTGCTAAGTTGTTTACATTTGTTTCCCAGTGCGGCCGTCTTCTCATGGGAAATGCGATGCGATGCCGATTATTTCGACTCCTGTTCTGAATTACTCACTTACCAGAATACAAGAACGAACCGAACCTAACTTAACCACCCAAAATGATGTAAGAATTTTTGAGAATCAGGTCGTGCAGGGAAAGCAATTTTCAACTAAAAGGATCATAAGTAGAATCCTAACAACCTGAAATTAACAAGGATCAGATATATAGCACAGAGACGCAATAAACAACTGACCACACCATTGCTTACTGAACACCTGTGAGAACAAGTAGACTCTTCAGTAAGTCAGGTACACAGCTGAATGAAAACTACAATGTACGTCCTAAATAACCAAACACTTAACATCTTAAGACAACTGCTCCATGCCTCGAGTATAATCAAACAGATGAATGGAATATTTCTTGTCTCTACTTACCAGCGCCATAATTTTGTCTGCGTGTGCATCTAGTGGTAGCAGTGGGTCGGAAAGGTACCTGCAGCTGCTTCAAGTGTACCTGAATTAGCTGTTTATGTCAGTAGGGAGAGGAGGGCCACTCCCCATACTTGTCATATCCCCTCACTAACCTCCCTCCCACACACAACAAAATGTTCTCTAATTATGATGAAAAGGTGCGGGCGTGAACACATTTAGAGACAGTGCCAATTTACACCTCAGGGGGACCGCGTGAGAACTATCTGCTAAATAAAGAAGAGAAAAACGATAATGAATGTTGCCGGATTAAGATGTATACTGGGAGGACACCGTCGCCCACTAACAAGAAAGGAAATGTGGAATGTGAGGAAGAGAAAGTGTGTGTGTGAGGTGGGACATTCTTGTGTTTGTTTGAGGATGAAGGGTAGCAAGACGTAACTCATGACGTCACACGTTCCTCACCCTCCACAATCCACACTCCCCATCCTCCACACCCTCTACACACTCCACACCCTACACACACACACACACATATATATATATATATACACACACACACACACAGGACGTCAGCAGCGGCGCTCTTCACCGCCTCCTGCCAACTCGGTCAAACAGCCCCGAAACGCATGACTTAAAACATCCCCTTCACACACACACACACACACACACACACACACACACACACAGGTAGAGGCATCAACAAAGGGTGAGGGGGAAAGAGGTAAACTTGGATGAATAGAGAAAAAGAACAAAAATGTAAAGAATAAGAAATGAACAGAAGAGAGAGAGAGAGAGAGAGAGAGAGAGAGAGAGAGAGAGAGAGCGCACCTGTGCCTTACCACCCCCATGGCTACTGGTTCAGAGCACGAGGCACTATGGTATGCCGTCTGTCACACCCATTTAAGGCTTAAGGTCACCTCCTCATCTTGCCAGCAAACACTCCACTTACTGTACACCTTAACTCATCCACAAACATCCACATCCACCCTCCCTCCCTCCACCAGCCATCATCCACAACACCCCTACACTATTTTAACATCATCCACCCTCCCTACATCCACCAGCCATCATCCACAACACCCCCACACTATTTTAACATCATCCACCCTTCCTACATCCACCAGCCATCATCCACAACACCCCCACACTATTTTAACATCATCCACATCCAATCCACCGTCAACTTTGTCTCCACTTCCCGTATAGCGTCTGATACAGTAGGTATTTCTTCCTCACCAAGGACCATGGGGTATATTTACCTCAAGGGAATGGCTATTTTCAGGTGAAGAGGAATTCTACACACGCTCGGCCTGCAATAAGAAACAATCCTTGGTTCTAAGGGTTTAGATTAGGTTGGGTTGGGTTAGGTTAGGTTAGTTTGGAAGTCTAGTGGTCAGAAGTGATGCCTAGAGGCCCATCCCCACGAGTGAGTGAGTGAATGAGTCAGTGAGTGAATGCATGAGCGAGCGTGAGTGAGTGACCTTGACGCTCTTGATCCTACCTGATAATCCTAATACAAGTATGGTGTTACGGCCTCACTGAGAACAGGATAACACTGGTAAAGTCTTGGTGTCATTATTACTTGTAGTATCTGGTTAAGTGCTGTCGTTAGGCGTGCCAAGACAACTTAACACTAGCAGCATATTAATGACGGTGTTGCTAGTACCATACACCTCTCAATACCATACACCTCTCAATACCATACACCTCTCAATAACATACACCCCTCAATACCATACACCTCTCAATACCATACACCTCTCAATACCATACACCTCTCAATAACATACACCTCTCAATACCATACACCTCTCAATAACATACACCTCTCAATAACATACACCCCCTGAGCTCCTGCAATACACCACTGATAAGAAACATCAAGTGGAGGACAGATACGACCAGATAACACATCCTTATCAGCCTCAAGACGCGCCTTTATCATCTTATCAAGGAGACTCAACA